AAGCCAAACCTGAGAATTTTATCCAGTTCCTTACTCAGACTGTAAGTGAGACTGCCAACCATGGGATTGATGAGCGTAAGAGGCTTACCAGGCTTATGGAGTTTTACCAGGCCATGCGGCTTCGGCACACTGTAGATGTCCACTGTTTGCACTGTTCTTATTTGAAACGCAGACATCCGCGAGAATCTTGGTGTACAGCCGCTGCTTCTTCAGAATGAAAAGTCACAGCTGCGACGGTTTGGGCATGTGTTGGGAATGCCTCCGAAAAAAAGGCTAAGCAACCCCTTCGTAGCCAACCGACCGGCAGAAGGCCCATGGAACGGCCAAGGTTAAACTGGAGCAAATATATGGAAGGAGTCTGTTCCATGCTCCAGCTGTTTTCTGCCAAAGCTCAGGCTCTGGCACAGGAATGGGAACGTTGGAGTCACTGTCTGACGGTCGTCTGCCCTCGCGACCCGAAAGGAGAAACGGTCAAGGATGATGATAATGTTCTCACTGAGCTTGCCTTCCAAGACCAGCGGATGCAAAGCATTCTTAAGCAGACACCTGATTCTTGGAAAAGGGTTGGCGTTTTCCGCTCCTTTTGGTAAATGGCTGCAAATGATAAAAACCCCTTCATTTTTCGCAGGTAGTCCTCTTTTAGCATAACAACCGACTCTGATCATTTATCGGCTGATAGTACAATCAAATTTCTTTTCTTTATCTTTTTTCTAACGCTTCGCAATCCTTCCAGGTGGTACTTGGATAGATCTGATCGACAGTTCTTGATTTTGATCCGAATTATCAGGCAAATTCCGCTCACATCTGTTTCTTTGACTATTTCACTCGACTGATGAGTACCTTTTTCAATGTCAGCTCTAAAATCAGAAATAAGTGAAATCCTTGACGAAACAGAAATTTGGACAAAGGGCGAGAACATCCTTTTTCACCTCACTGAAAGTGATATCAGTAAGACTAACGACGAAAGAATCACGGAAGATCTTATCTGGCCAAATTACATCTCCGCATTTGATAGCTTTCTTCCATCGTCGAGCGTCTAAGTTCCTAGTATGACCTTGTTAACAGAATCAAAGGTTCGACGATAATCTTTCATAATCAGTAGCTTAACTTTAAAAAAAAACCTGCTCTAAGATTAAATTTTCCACCCCGTTCCAACGCTGGCCTAACCTGTTTTCAAGACGTCTTCTATCCGCATACAATGCAACGGTTGAGCTGGCTCCATTGATGTTTCCGCGGCGTGGAGCATTATTCATGGTTTAATCGGAGACCGAGCTAACGTCCAGCCAATCGGGTCAATCACCAGCTGACTCAGCAGTCTGTCATCGTTTCGTGTTCATTCCGTGATGATGACCGATGCAATTTTGTTGAAACGTTGGAACTGCTGTAAATAACACGAGATTTTTTAACTGTTTTTCGTGCTGCTAACCATGGAATCAGAAGACTTATCACCTTCAAGTCATCTACGGTACAGTATCGGTATGAGCCTTAGAAACAAAGATTTCCTTTCTCGATTAATTATTCGAGCATAAACAAATTATAAAAGCGATGGTCGCTCTAATAGCGAATTTCGTCACAATGCAACCAGTAACATCCTACGCAAAAAGCAATGTGCGCAAAAGCTCACACTATATTAAAACGAAACTAATGGAAAGGTTCAGTGATGGCTTTTAACGTCATTTATGCCTTGTACATGTTTCTTAACAGCGTCCAATTTCTGCTCGCTTGCAGCATGGCAAAATAAACCAGACATTATACTTTTATTTTCTATTACTGGTACTTTACCAATCAGTTTAATGATAAAGAGTCTTCAAGACAGAAAGTCAATACGACGGTTGAAAGAAACAAGATGAGAAGATAAAGCTTCATTTTAAGCCGACGTTTCGAATTACATCACTGCATCCATCATCAGAGCATGCACGAGGGGTTAACTCAAATAGCTGATACTGACGAAAATATGACGATAATATCGATCAAACTGGTGACTATCGGTCTCCCTAATGGCTGGATACTTCGCGCAGACCTCATAACAGTCATAAAATGAAAGCCAAATCACCAAAATTCACAGGTTTGGCAAAGGTTTGGTGTTAAGTTCCGAAACGTTTTCCACCGAGATGTACCGATGGGCGAAACAGTTCATAGAGAGAGAAATCTGTCAATTATGCAAACTGAAAGCTGCAGTGGCAGAAGTGCGCCCTTACACCGTCCACCGGTTTGTGTCCAGAGAGTCAGTGCCGAAACGTCCAATTTCGCAATGGAAGTGTGAAGTAATATCCGCTATTTTTAAAACTGACGAGCGAACGAGTGCTTCAACTGTTATGAAATGACACTATGCTACTCCCTTTAAACTCTACTGGGCTATGTTAGGAAGAATGAGGACAGCAACGAATGAGCGCATCGCCAAAATCAGGCATATTTCTGGATGAGGTAATTCTGCTCATGCTTTGACGCTTAGTGAACCATGTCACTGATTTCAACTGCCACTTTTCTCTACTTCATGGCTGTATTTCCCTGAATATATGGTACAACAGTGTGGAAAATTTAAAAATTTTATGCGATACCGGAGCAAGTAATTGCCACTTCAGAAGAGATATAGGTTAAACCATGTCAGCTGTTAAAACCGGAAAGATATCTGAGTGGTTTTCAATATAGCGTCTAATATGCTTTCGCCCTTGTTATTCAACATTATAATCGACTTTCGCCTCTGAAACAGCGTTAATCTTGGTAAACACGATGGTCTTACTCTAGATGAAAAGCTCCGTTAAGGATATTCGGCTAGACATCTCGCTGACCTGCAGTACACCGACGATACGGTCCTAATGAAGAGTATGGGAAGCGGACTTCGCCACCCAACGGCTTCCAAATGCAACACAGCTGTAAAAATCGGTCTCTTTCTTACCTCCCTGAAGCCAAAAGTTATCAGGAATCCAGTCAGTAAAGAAGATATGCATGTGGAACAGAAACATGAAACGGTAGGCGAGGTAGACCAATATCTTTCGACTCCATCATCTCGAGCGAGTACACCATTCAATAAGAATTAAAGAAGAGAATCACACTCGACTCTTGTGCACCTGGTAACCTGTTCAGTAATAGAGCAAAGAAAAGAGTAGCACTTGCCATAAAAATACTGAGTGTGCCTTATGTCGGTCAGATCGGCGTTCCGGTGCGACATGGAGATCGTCATTCTAATGACAAAAAGCAACAACTAATCTAATATTGCACAGAGCTGCGTTGGCTTAAGCACAGAATGAGAATTAAATGGCAAAACAACTTAAGGAATTAATCTATTATTTGCTAGATTTATGTGACCTCAGTATATGTAGAGATCAAGAAGAAACGTTAGACGTCTTTTGTAAACTGGTTGTGCATAAACTGTTTCCTTCAACTTCGAACCTTCGCCTGTGGAAGCCGAAACAAGGCAGCAGTGGGTCAGAAGACTAAGACGCAAGGTTTTTGAACAAGGCAGCTCAGATCTATTTTTGAAGAAGAATCGCTCCTTCCATAACGCAGTAACTGATGCGCTAAAGCAAAAGTGTTGAATAGCTACGAATACAGCGCACATCAGAAATCCAAGGCATTCCGCTTATGCAAACAGCAAAATGGTAAGTTAAAGAACCGAAGAATAATTGCCAAAGAATCATTTTACTTTCAACATACTCGCAGAAAGAAGGTAAACAGGGAATCACTAACGCTGTTTTCCTTCGTAGTCTAGAAATGCAGACATCACAAATTGCCGAAACTCATTAAGTAGGATGGCTAGCAAAGGAGATAGAGGTAGATCCACTGACATCCTGCGTGGATTCGAATGCATAATTTTAGCACTAGAAGACAAAAATATTAGAAATAACCGGATACATCAATATTCTGCAGACCTCGGTGACTAGAAGATAGCAACCTAACGAAATGCATCATCAATACGAAACTTATGCAAACGGCAGAGTAAAAATTTTCAAAATGGCTGGCACGACCTTAAAAACGGACATAATTCGAAAAGTCAGAAAAGTGGACGGACATTAATCTCGGTCCAGATTTGGTATGGGTTTCGATACAGCAGCCGTTGTCGATGAATGAGATGACGACAAATTGCAATCACAAAAATAATCAGCTTACACAGTGCCCGCAACAATTTCCGATTTTACATAATATCAAGATATCACTAAATGAAGTGGTCTGACGGCTGGTCGGCATGCCAGAGAAGAAGGTTTCGCGTCGACGAAGAAGGTTTCAAAACCACATGGTTACATGGCAGGCGACTGAGCGGCAAACCTAGGCCAAGTGGCTAGAGTATACTTAACGCCAATTACGGTGGTGCTTTGAAATCCAGTCCATAATACTCGCCTGACTTGCGCAGGATGAGACCATCTGAAAATCCTTTTGAAGCTGCTGCCGTCGTACTCTGAAAGGAACAGCGGGCACTGAAAACTAGTGAATAAAACTATTAAACACATTTTGAATTGCAGATTTTATAAAGAATTCATTTAGTCAAGAGCGCCTACTTCAGGGTTACTTTTGCTGCTTCAACTTTTGTGAGGCCGGCTTGATATGGCTGAAAAAATAGCCGGTTCATATTGGCCATTTCAACTTTGTCATAATCGAACAAAATGAGCTAAAAACAGCAAGGTGAGTTAATTAATGGCTAGTAATCAAATGAAGATATAGCACATAATGTCAGTATATAGTTCCGTACAAAATAAATTATGCTTCATTTATAGAAAGGGAAATCAAAATGAGTAGTTAATCACCGGGGAAGAATTACTTGCTCATTATTCCAACAAAATCGACTAATTGATGTTTATTCTAAACACTGAGGTAGTTTGCACAGCACTACGTCGACACCGTTAATTCTTTAATGCACGCATCCCAGTGATACATTGTGCTGTGAGAATAAAGCAAAATTTGTTTAACTCTTTGGTTGCTTGAATGTCAGAAAAGAAACCAACTAAGCCTTTGACGATGGGCAGTCAGGGTCTGGGAAATCCAGTGCAACAGCACTGTCCATTTTTACACATCTTATTACCATGCCTCTGAAAGGAAGTAGACATTTATAATGGTTTAGAATCGTCAAATCCATTTCAGCCTCATCTTCCTCTGGGTTAAATAGGCTTATATCGCAACCGGTGGCCAGAAAAAAAATCCGCTGTGAAATTCGCATGTTTAAGGCGAGGCCGCAGCGAAAAGAAAGTTGATTTGACCTGACCTGTGAACAAGTCTTTGTCTTTGTTGTGCATCTGATACATCAAATCAGCCCAAGCAGCAGCAAAAGCAGTGAATGCTGCGAAAATAAGGGACGAGAATTGTTTAGAAAGAAACGGGTCTTCAACTATCAGTGAGCACAGTAGCATGGCAGAAAACCCGTTGCGTATGAGGGTTAGGAGCAGGCGCTGCACTATTCATAAAGAAAAAACCTAACCCGCGCGAAAGTATTCTGCGGAGATGGAGGGAATGCCTGTAGGATCTCCTCAATTGTAGTCTCTGAAGATCCTAACAATACTTATGTACGCAGTTTGGGCTGTAAAGTAGCGCAATAATAGTAGCTGAAGCAGTAGCAACAGTCGCGAAAAAGGGGCAAGATGTGGAAAGAAACGAAATCAAATGTCAGATAGTTAATGGCTTAGATGCGATGATGCAAATCCTTAGCGGTCACTATCTCCTTCTCTGGCGCCTGTACCTCTGCCACAGGAACACTCGCTACTGAAACATGAGTGGACCTCTGGTCAG